TGACACGTGGCGCCAAATAGTTGGGGTCCTTTTTTATATATAAAAAAAATAGTATAGCCGAACGGCTATACGCAGTTTTGAAATTTTTTTTGAAAAGACATGTGTTGACACATGGGGCATAATGGTTGGGGGGTCTTTTTTATATTAAAAAAATAGTATAGCCGCCCTGCTATACTCAGTTTTTTATATAAAAAAAAGTTTGTATAGGCGTGAGGCGTTACTGGTTTTTTCTTTTTTAAATTGAATTTAATAAATAGTATAGACGAGCGGCTATAGTTTTTTTTTGTATGTATTAATACACACACACACACACACACATGTAGGTACGTATTTTTCAACAATACATTCATGTCCTATACACGTCTCACGTTTTCTTTAAAAAGCAAACATACAATAGTCGTATTGCACATGTACGTACATATTTTGAATGTTTTATATGCATATTTTTTACAAAATTTTCAGTAACACACACAAATTCACATATTATACAAATAATTCTCACATATTATTGAATAAGAATAACATATGATATAAAAATTATATTAAAATATCAAAAAGTGGAAGATTCATATCTACTTTAAAAATAGTATAGCCGCCCGGCTATGCTCCATGTTTTAAATTTTTTTTAAAAAGACATGCGTTGACACGTGGCGCCTAATGGCTGGAGTGTTTTTTATATTTAAAAATAGTATAGCCGCACGGCCATACGCAGTTTTGAATTTTTTTGGAAAAGACATGTGTTGACACGTGGGGCATAATGGTTGGGGGTCTTTTTTTTATTTAAAAATAGTATAGCCGCACGGCTTGACTCAAGTTTGAATTTGTTTTAAGATAGAAATGTGTTGACACATGGCGCCTAATGGTTGGGGTCCTTTTATACTCAGTGTTGAAATTTTTTAAAAGAAGACATGTATTGACACGTGGCTCCTAACGGTTGGTGGAATTGAACCTCGTACTTCAGTGCATGATAAACACTCTTAATCACTTGAGCGACAATTGTTAGTCAAGGTGTCATAGGTGAATATAGTCTATGATTTTAATTTTCGGACAATCCAATTATGATTTATAAATATAAAAGGATATTTCAAATTTGAAATCCCCTAGTTGATGAAAATAGAAAAAGGTTAAATACCGTTTTGGTCACTGGGTTTTACACGAAAATGCAATTTGATCATTGCGAAATTTGTTTAGCCAAATTGGTCATTATGTTTCCCAAAGTTTAAAATTTATAGGTATTCCATTATCTTCCGTTAACTTCCATTTAGTGCAATTTTATTTATTTTGTTCAGGAAGCATGTTCAATCTTCTTTCTCCAACTCAATGAGTTATGGTATATTGTTCGATTAGCGTATAACAAATTGGGGAAAATATTGGGTTGAAATCGAAATTGTGAGTTACAATGTCACATATTGGATGCAATATTGTATTGGGGTTTCTACGGCAAGCAATACCAGCTAGGTTATTCATGACATATGAGGAATTCAATTTTGACGGCTACCTGGAATCAGAACTTTCAAGGGAATTTGGTGGGATGGAAAGGCTTGACATGTTCTTCCCATTTGACCCATGTCTGCTGAAAAGAAGTGACAGGTTTGTATTAGATGTAAGAATCAAATGTTAAAGTCGTTTTGAATGCTTTGCTGACACTATTTTTATTTTATATATTTATAAAGTTACATCTAACCAAACTTCATTTTCTGGTCAATGGTTCAACCTACATATGACGACGAAGATTCCAGTGATGAAGATGTCGGAGAAGCTTTTGCAGGTGACGATGACGGTGGAATGGATTATGGGATTTTGCAATGCTTGGAGGAACAACATTTTAATTTTGAAGAAGTTGGCTCTGCATTGAACAAAATGTCTATCACACCAAAGGATTCCTTACATAGTAGGTTTGGTGGTGCGATAAACCAACACGTGCGAATGCCCTCGAGAATTAGACCGTCAACTAATCCGGAGTCTTTGTAACTTGGAAGTGTGTAACCCCTCTTTACTTTTATGGAAGTTGCAAGCTTCAAAACTGTTTGTTGTAAAAGCAGACATCATGATAGCCTCAGAGGAATGTCAAGCTGATGATGAGCAAGATGCGTAGTCGTAGACTTCTGTTTCTAGTTTTTTCTTTTTTTAATTAAATTATCCATTTATTTATTTTGGGTATTGTGTAGGGGTTTATGGAGCCTTGCTTTTCTTCCCTCAATTAACTTAATCAAAACGTGTGCCATGAAAATTTTGAGTTTTGAATTTGGACAACATGCCTTCTGATGAGCTTGTTTTTAGGTTCTTAAAGAACTTTTGTTCCCATTTGAATTCGGGCAAAATTTGAAGGATGCAGCAATTACCCCAGTTGAAGAATATATTGTATCTAGAGGCGAGCCAAATTTCTAAATAAATTTTATTATATTTTCGAACCGCTGAGTCTCTGACATCTGTAAAGATGGATGGTCAGGTGTTGCTACTTCTTTGTCTGTCCAAAAGAAAAACCACAAACCACTCCTTTTGAAACTGTCACCTGCTCTCTCAAGATGTCAACTGAACTGATCTCCATTGCAGAAAAAACAACTAGAGCTACGGATCAAACACCACCAGAAAGCCAAGTCTAGTTAGAGAGAGAGAGAGAGAGAGAGAGAGAGAGAGAGAGAACAGAGAAACACCTTCCATTCCATATCATCATACCTCCTCTCCTCACAAGTTCCAGTTGAGGGAACTTAGGCAATCTAATATTCACTCATCCCTAACTCTTATTTACCGTCTAATATTCACTCATACCGAACTCTTATTTACTGTTTTTAGAACTAGTTGAGGGAATCGGATCAGATCAGTCCACCAATTAATAGACCGACCGACAAACAAACAAAAAAACTCATATTCTAGTATTGAAATAATTCAAATTTTCAAGTCATTCAATTCAAACTAGCATAATCCTACAACAGGGGCTGTAAAATAAGTAAAAATAGTAGAAGATCCATAATCCTATAATGGGTCCAAAAACAGCTTGCTTTATCCTTGTCTCGTTCATTAAAATTTGCTTCTAACTGAGCAGCTCTGAGATCCATCACCAATTACAAGTAGCCAATCACTCTTACCCTCCCGAGAGTCAATATCTTGCAAGTAATGTTCTGCTTCCAAAGCCGCCACGCATCCTGCGTCATTACATAATGAAAGAAATCATTTTCTAGATATAGCAAAGTTAGAAGAAGAGCTCAAGGCCCCTAGAGTAGGAGTTGAGTCAGCATTAAGCATGTGAAAAGAAAGATGAATAAACAAATAACAGTTCAATGCAACACAAATGCTGCTTATCAAACACTCAAACAAAACAGAATCCATCAGTAACCTCTGAAACCGGAAGCAATACAGCTTTCATACACATAATGTCAGTGGGCAATTGAGGAAGAAAGCTTAATGAAAATCTATCCACACGATGTTACCAATAGCGCATATATATAAGCAACATTCACCAAATAGTCTCCAGTATAATCATGGAAAGGGGGGAACGAAGTGCCCCTCGAATGTAGGGGAAACAAAATGTTATCTTACCAAACAGCCTTTGCAAGAACACTGTCAATTTGACCTATCACGTGAAATGCTTGTTTATCAACACTAAGTGAGCATTTACCTAAAACATAGTGAATGTAGGCCTATTCACATTTTGATCTTAGTACGCAACTAAATAAGTAGCACTTCCTAATTGAAATACAAGCAAGACAAATGAATTTAAAATTGACCTCTTAAAGTAGACATCTTTTTAAATGTGTCCAATGCAACACAAATACCATAAGCATGTGAAAAGAAAGATAAATAAACAAATAACAGTGCAATGAAACTCAATTGCGGCTGATCAGAACAAAACTGAATCCATCAATAACCTTTGAAACCGGAAACAAAATAGCTTTTATACATGTGTAAGTGGACATCGAATAAGAAAGTTTATTGAGAATCTGTCAACACAATGTTGCCAATAATAGTACATATATGATTATATCTAAGCACCATTCACCAAAAAGTCTCAAGTATCTTCATGGAAACGGCGGAATGAAGTTCCCCCGAATGTAGGGGAAATGAAATGTTCTCTTACCAAACAGCCTTTGCAAGAAGACTGTCAATTTGACCTATTAAATGAAATGCTTGTTTGAATGTGTATTACAATTAGGCAACATATATCATAACATGTATCAACATTAAGTGAGCATTTCCCTAAAAAGTAGTGAATGTATGCCTCTTCTTATTTTGATCTTAGTATGCAACTAAATAAGTAGGCATTCTTAATTGAAATACAAGCAACATATACGCAGATGAAGTTATAAGAGTAAACATTTTAAAGTGCACTTGTAATTGGCATCTTGAAGTAGACATCTTTAATAAGTTAGAACTTACAACAAATGCAAATGCACCAAACAATTCCAATACAACAAATGAAAGTACACCGTGATATATAAATCTAGAACAAACGCAGACATTACTTACTCAGCAATGCGGTGCCGGTGCTGGTGCCGATGCAGGTTCTGGTGCAGATTCCGGTATTGGTGCAGGTTCCAGTGCAGGTGAAGGTTCAGGTGCAGGTTCCAGTGCAGGTTCAGGTGCAGCTACTGGTATTGGTATTATGGACTCCACATACCGCACAAGCGAGCATAGATGTGGAAAAAGTAAGGAATGTTTCTCCCTGAGAAAAGACAGACCAGCAACGTGACGGGGCAAAAGAAGACGTGGCGGCAAAGCGACTGTGATTGAGTGGACTGTTCTAGTTGGCACATCCATAAGCGTCAACCGTAGCACTTCTTCATGTGAAATCGGAAAGGCCAATTGCACCATTGTCAGCATTATCGGAGTCTGAGTTATTTCTAACAAAGCTTTCATGTGGTCCAAACCTTCCTCTTCCTCTTCCTCTTCTTCGGTAGATCCCCAACCAGTCATATAATCCTCCTCCTTTATCTCCCACACATGTATATTTTCAGTGCTCCTAAGAATCCACAGCCTTGACTGGCGGTGTATGTCTCTAGCTATTACAGCTGCACAACCGTCCATCTCAACCAAGTAAACTTTTGCAAATCTATTGGACTGCGTATAAGGGTTAAATGAATAAGGGTTAAATGTGTCAGGCAGTGTGATAAAGGTAAACCTCTCCATACTGACATCAAATGCCAAAATGTTGGTTTTGTGGTACCAGTAGAAGCTCCCATTGACGAATAAAGTCTGGTTTGAAAGATTTGACAGAAAACCATACGAAATCATCGGGGTCAAATTGAGATTAGCTGAGTTGGTGATGTCCCTCCACTCTTTGGAGCCCAAAGTAAAGATGGCCAGTTTGAAATTGAGACCACCAAACCATGACATTCTCCTGATGAAGCTCCATGGCCTTTCAAAAGCCCATTGGGCCTGTAATACCTTGTATTGCTGGTGGTGTACATCATATCCGAAATGAAATGCAATTTCATTTTGTTGGAATCTGTCAGATTCCATACACTCCCTGGGACCTATGAACAGCTCATACAGTGGGGGACCTTCCGGAAGGGTGATCAGGGTTCGGGTATATGGGTTAACTATATCCACCCGATAGGACACGTCATTGGATCCAAAACTACAGATGAAACAGTTTACAGCTTGAGAGTAAAATCGAACAAAACCCTCACGAAACGTATACCTTTCATCTACTCTTCCAACTCCTCCAACAAGATTGTGCGGAACCATCATAATTTCGTCTGCTTGGGCTGTATTTTCTACCGGATCCACCTCTATGCGACAAAATACCATCGCTGGTCGGTATTCAGAGACTGCAGTGAGCAGCAAGTGAAACTTGGGCCTTGTCCGGAGACCCAAGTGTTGATTGTGCAGCTTCCTAAAGCTAGGTGTTCTCGTGAGGGAGAGCCACCTCTTGCATACTACCTGGAACCTCAGTATAGAGGTCACAGACAAGCGGGACAGTATATCCTCGAGGACTGCCTGACAAGTAATTTCTGACTTGACGATTCTCTCAGGACCCCCATCGTTCTTCTTCTCCTTTTCATGGTCAACCTCCTCATTATTCTCCTTTTCATCCTCCTGCTTCTTTTCATGCTCAAAACCGTCCAAATGCCCCTTCTCATCCATATTATCTCGATTCTCTATACAAAAACAGGAAAATAAATAAATACACGTCGTAAATGCAAAATCAGGATATGAAAATATCAATATTGTAACGCATTTATTCTATAAATAAAAAAATCAAACCTAAAAAATCATTAGGAACAAAACCCACTCCGTCCATATATATATAACTAGGATATATAACTATGATATGAAAGGCAATACATTTATTTTATTAAAAAAATAGAAAAATAATTATGATCAAGTCCAAATACTCTTTGTTATCTCTAAACCAATACAGAAAAAGAAGAAAAAAAGGAAATTAAACGAGAAAAATAAATATCATAAACGCATGCGACCTCAGGAATTTATTCTATGAAAAATCATTATGATCATCAAACCCTCCCAAAAAATAAATTCTAACTCTTCGTAACACGCAAAAAAATCGCACCTGTGGAGTGACCTTGAGGTGCGACCGAAAGAGTCGGTAGAGACCGCCGAAAGAGAAGGGAGAGACTATTGTAAAAACCCTAAAAGTTAACTTAGTGGTGCTATTTCTACCTCTTGTCTTATTTTTATAAATAACCCCTTTGTAAAATGACTTCTAAAGACTTGAGGTTTTTTATGAATAATGGTGTATGACTTTAAAAAAAAGAAAATACACGTCAGCTGATCCCCAGCCACCGCTTCCTGAGCTCGCCGACAAAGCCCTCGCCTTCCCACTTAATCTGTATCACTATTTTCAGTTTCTTCATCATGAAAATCAGAAAATATATTTGCATGGTTCCACCTGCTCAGCCTGAAAAGAAGATAGAAAATAACACAGCATTACAAAACATAGCCAAAGAGAAGCAGAAGAATTGAGCTATATCAGCTGCATTGGTAACATACTCGTGTGTGTGTACAACAAGACATAATTTTGCACACATGTATGTATGTGTTGTGCTCAAGCATTTATTAATTTTAAAAATTATGGAAGACAGAGACCTGGTTGTAGTTGCTTTGGACACTTGAGATCTAGCTTCCTCAGATTTAGAACCCAGTTTCCTCTCTTTCCGTTCCTTGATCCGTGTTCAATAAAAATACAAAACAAAGGGCATTGATGAGATGGGTTTGGCAATGCTTCTCATACATGATACAGAGCTATACCAGTTGGTGCTGTTTCATATATATATATATATGGACATTGAGGGGTATAGATACAAAAGGGATGTTTTGTTTTGCTATGATTTAAAACTTCCTGAGAGTTTCACGCCTAAGAATCAAGGTAAGCCCCTTGGAGCTTAGCTTTTACCTATATTAGTTGTAAACTTTGCCTTGCCTTCAGCTTTGTTATTTTTCAGCTTTCGTTTCATCCTAAACCATCTAAAATTTTCCCCTTATTGAACGTGTGACAGATGGAGAGGTGGAGAGCTTCAAGTTGATCCCTGTGACGGATGTTGCAAACATCATACGAAGGACACAATTTTTCAAGCCAAATTGCTCTCTTGTCATCATTGATTTCCTGTTTCGACACGGGTATTTTCAATTTTACTACCGAAATTCTTACATTTAGCTAAATTTCTTTTTGCATATACTGACTGTTTAGCTTACCTGACAATGAACCATGTGGTGATGATGTATGTATAACCTTACCTGACTCTTTAGCTTACCTGACAATATGCAACCATGCAGGTTAAAATTAAGAAATGATAGTGTATCAGTGTTTAAGACATAGGTTATGGCTGCTTCATGTTGTATCAGTGTAACAAAGCGATACATGATAACATTGATGCATAGACATTGGACAAACCAAGAAAAGCACTCAACTTTGAATATTAGAATATGTTTAAAAAGTATAGTCGCGCTGCTGTTCTGTTGCTGTATTTCGTTCAAACTATTATACATTCATGTTTGTAATGGTTACAGTGGCTGTTGTAGGCATTGATCTATGCGTTAAATCTCCTAACTTAGGCCAACATGGTAACAGTTGCTATCAAATATACCTGTTAACAATATCAAATTCTCGAAAATTTCTTTCATTCAGAACTTGTGATGCTTTCAGCTAGTGAGTTTTGATGAGAAGACCATCCAAGCACTCATTACTGGAAGGTGACTAACGCAGAAGCCTGTAAATTAGCAACTCCGATTAAGGACAATACCACACGAAAATGCTTAGACGGGAACATATTTCTTGAGAAAAAGCTGCGGCAGAAAGGAGTACAGAAATAATTAAACAACAAAGAAAATTGACTACATACCATAAAGAAAACTAATTCCTCATTTGCAAGAGCTGCTGTGTATTCATTCTTTCCCACTTTGGATCAACCTGTAGTATAATTTTCTGTATGGTAAAGGACCAAACCTACAATAGTTTATTTTAATGAACCATAATGCACTACTACCTGCGATCCTCTTCTAAAAATCTGATGTTTGTTTTTAATCAATGCAGGCATATTAGGCCCGAATGCTTTGGATACCTGGATCTACCACAAAGTTTGAGGAGTGGTGATTGTTTGTAATTGTTATAAAAATAAAATAAAATAAAACCTTTTTGGCACTGCCTTATTGTAATTTTCTTTTTAACTGTTCTGTTTCTTCCCCCAAAATTATAGAAGTTGTGTGACAAATTGAGAAAATTAGCCATTGTTTCCAAGAAGCCATATATTTATGGAGTACACCCGTGTGGTGATACCTTTAAAATATTCTCTTTAAAGAGAAATATGTCCATGGTGCAAATATAGAGATCTATAAGATAATGACAAGTAACAGTATTCATCTTTTAAAACTGGATAATATGAAAAAGACCTGTTACCTAAAAGGGAAATCTTCATCAGGTAAGTTCTCCATCTTTGCCAAGCTTTTGAGTGCACCCCTCATAAAAATAAGAAGAGTGTACCCCTGTATGATAATAGCTGTTACAAACAAGAGGAAAACAATCAGATACAGCAAAAGTAGTACCTAATTTTATCCAACATTGCTGAAACAATATGAAATGCAAGGTCCCAGACACCATCGTATTCATAACCAAGTAAGCTTTCAATAGAAGCACACACTTCTTCAATTATAGTTCGCCCAGACTTCCTTGCATCCATATTTGCATTCATTACAATCTGGTCAACTCCCTGTTTGATCAAACTTTCATCAATGCAAACATGAATGAGACTCTTAAATGCTTTCGTCGCTGCGTGTATGGCCTCGTCATGCTTAGATGCCAATACATCTGTCAAACTCAAGGAAAACCACCACTGTACTTTTTGAGTCTTGCTTTCTATAATGGAACAGATATAAACAGGAACTTGGAGGAGGATTTTGTAATATATAGGAAGGTAAAAGTATGCAACTAAAGCCAATGAAGGAGGAAGAACATTACAAACCTCTGAGTGCATTGAATACGATGGGGAGTTTTTTTACGCATATTTGCCTATTGAGGGAATAAACTTTAGCCATTAGAGTACCAAGCAAGCGAGCTGTAAATGTCATCCCACCCACAGATGTCTCATTCGTGGAGACAGAAAGAGCTAACGAGCATAATAGATCAAGCAACACTTCAGGAGAGACGTCTGTGGATGGATTGAGTTTGAGACCAAGTATATTCAAACTATCTGTTATGCGCTTCCTAACAAGTGGTTGGTGCAGTTCCAAGAGAGTTTTGTACTAATTGAGGACGGCAGTTTTGTAGTTGATTGACATAAGAAAAAGACACTCTTCTATTTTACTAACAGTCCCAAATTTTGATGAACTGTTCATATCACACTTGTTTTGGATAGTGTGTGATGCAGAGGCAAAAGATTAAACTCTCTTAGTTGGTGTAAGAACAAAATGTTTGTTGTTGTTTTTTTGAATGCTTTGCTAACATCTAGAATATTTTTACTTTTTCCCTCTTTACAAAGCTATATCCGGCCAAAGTTCATTCACAAGCCAAGGATTCAACCTAGGAACAACGACGATGACGAACAGAGAAGATTTTAGTGATGAAGATGCTGCTGATGAAGCTTTTTACTTCCGGAAATGAGGAGAATATGATGGATTATGAGATTTTGCAAAGCTCGGGGGAAGAGCATTTTGGTATGGACGATGAATTTGAGTGTGCATTCAGAGTGTTGGTAAATTAAAACTCAATTCCCTCTCATATCCTTTAGGGGGGGTGTATCCAATTCATACTTATAAACTCAATTAGTCTTTTTCTTTGAAGAAGATGCAAGAAACAAATCTAAATTAGGAAATTTCTTTAATTTAATTCATGGTGATATAAATAGTTCAGAGTTGGAACGTAGAGTGTATTCTTTAATTTCTGCCATTTGTATGACGGAAATGGGTTTAGGATCGGTGAGGATCCTTGCCCTACAAGATTATACATAATAAGTACCCCTCCATTAGTTAACAATTCATTGTGATTTAAATACTGACCATGGAGTGAGAAAACATTTTTTACAACATTAACATTTTCACTCTGGTCTTCCCAAAATAAATTTAAACAAATACTAATAATCATATCAAATTATCCTACAATACAACTATTTGAATTTTTTATACTAAAAAAAAAAAAAAATACCCTTATTCTGATTGTTACCAAAAACATTGCACCTTCACAAGAAATTCATAGTTACTGGATTCATTAAAGAACCTCTATTATGGGGATGAATGAAAGGCATCATGAAAGTTGCTGCTGCTGCAACCGGAAATTCTACAGAAAATACAATATTCGACACCAAAATTGTATTAATGCCCACCACGTTTAGTATTCTGGCCTCACCTCGCCACGGCAGCTGCAACAGAAGCTGATATAGCCATCACTGAAAGTAGTACCACTGTACCACCAATACAATCTGACTACAATCTCCACGTTAAGCATACGCTATATAGTATATATCATCACAACAAATTTTCACAAGGTAGTCTCAGTCAAGTCCCACGCCATTTGTAATAAGAAGGGGTTACCAGGGCTTCAATAAAGTAGTATCAATTTTCTCGGTTATCTGTTTAACCACGCCCATAAGTTTTTTTTTCTCATAACATTTCACCCCATCATCATCATGCTTTTG